GTGTGTAACGTTGACAAAACTTTAACTATTTGGTTGAAATTTTCCATGTTAAGCAACTGCCTCAGGCTAAATTTCTTTTTGAAATTTCTTTTTGTTTAAGCAAAAACAGTTCAGTCACTTTAGAGACTGAGGCTGGAGGAATTAGTTTCTTTGCCAGTGTTTAAAAAAAAATCGTAACTGTTTTCTCGATAAGCTCTAGCTTCTCAGTGCTTGGGAGCAGGGACTTGAAATTTGGCCGGGTTCTTGCACTGTGGTCAGAGAAGTGCCTTTTGCTGTCCCCTTGAAAATCTGCTCAAATTTGGCTGAGTGATAAACATCTGAAAATTGTCATTTCAACTTCTTTAGCCAGAGGAGTGTTAGGGTTTGGCTGCTAAATTCTCTGAACTTTTTGTCTGCATTGAACATGCTCCATCCCAGGGTTTCAGGGCCTGACCAGGAGTTTTCTTAAAGTTTCTCTTCTGTGTTCTGACTGTTCCCTCTGCTGGTGCCTACTAAGCAGTGTGGAGGAAAAGGAGGAAATAGATTGATTCAAAATGAGGAGGACTGAGGAGTGGATAGGGGCTGGGGTGGGGTGTGGCTGGGCAGAGGAGCAGAGGAAGATAGGGTAAGGATGGGGGGGAATAGGAGCAGAAGAGGACACAGGTTAGGCTGTAGTGTGGGAAACGGACAGGCTAGGGTAGTTGTCTTGGCGAGACATGTTGGGGGCAAAGTCAGAAGGAGGAAGGCCAGTGGGGATAGAGGCAGAAGGTTCTGTAATTAGTAGCACATACTTCCATTCAGAACCTGTAATAGAGTCCAGGGTACCTAAGTCCCAACATTCCTTTGCAGTCCAGGAAACACTAGCAGGACCTGTTTGCACAATATGTGTCAGTGACTGGCCCACACAGGGGATATCATGACACTTTTTTGCTGCTCCAAGTTACGCTGATAGCTCAAGTGGCAGAGGTCTGTACTAAAAGAAATTCAGTTCTGCAGCGAATCCTTGCTCCTTCCAGTTCCATATTGTAACTGGTGCGCTGTTGTGTATGCCCTCTGAGGTATCTGTATCAGGTGATTCTGTATCATCTTAGGTTTAAAAAAATATTTTTGGCAATAGGAAGACCTGCTTAAACTTGCTCTTCTGCAGTTTCCAAACTTCATCTGTGAAGTAAAACATCCATCCAACACCACCCAAGATTATAAAGACTGCAAGTTGATAACATTTGTTTTCCAAGGTGGATTTGACCACCTGTACCCAGTTATGCATGTGATTAATTTCTTCTAATAAATCATGCATTGAATTACCAGAGACAGAAGTCCTATAATGGGACTTTGTTCCAAAGTGGCAGACGATTTGTTGGAAATGGGCAGGCAGAAAGCTGAGGAAATAGGAAATCAACCTTGATCTAACACCTCTTCCCTTCCCCCGAGTTGCATTATGTGTATCAAAATGATCTTCCGTTCTTTTTTCATAGTACTCCATACAAAATCGGAAGTTATCTCTCCCAACACTGAGCAACACTAGATTGCTTGGTTTGTTCTCTTAAGTGTAAGGCCTTTTGCAATCTTGGGCAGTTGATTTAGACATTTCAGTTTTTATCATACACAAGCAGTTTTTTAGGCCCCAATACAAGGAAACTCAGGATAGTACTTAAGCATATATTGAACTTAAGTGGGTGCTTCAGGTCTTTCATGAATTGTCATCTTAATTTCGGTACAGTTTAGAGATTCTAGAATACTACAAACTTGAGAAATGCCTGATCAAGTTTTAGAGTTAAGGTTACAACGACAGAAACTGGCAGTAAGTCCATTGAAGAAAGGTCCCCGCTTCTGCACACATCGGCACTTTAGAAAGGATACACCGACCATATCATGCAGTAGTACCCGTGCCATTGGTTCTATGTGCTACTATGTGACGAAAAAGGCAATTGACGAAAGACTGCTACCAACTTAAAGAGCATCCTTGTTTCTGAAAATTGTTTCTCATGTCCATTGTCTTCCATATATGTGTAAAAAGTTTGTGTGCGTAGTGCCTGTTTTTAACTCATTGTGAGGATTCAGTTGATAGTGATTAAGATGAAAATCGAAAGTGACCCTTTAAAAAAATTCACTTTGCATAGTTATTATACTGTTTATATACTTTATTGACTAATGCTCTGAAATTGCAAAGGGATCTGCATGCATGGACCTTACTCCTGTGGGAGTCCCACTGGAACTGTGTTCCATGCTTACCCTTAATCCAACACAAATTCATTGGGACTCCTGCAGTAGTAAAAGTCTATGCAAGCAGATTTTTCTGCGGGACTGATAACCTATTCTCTTCCTCCCACCCCCCAGCCATATGATGTACAATGTTTTTAAAGTTGAGCAGGATGCCGTGGTTTGGGTTTGCAAATCTAATGAGATAGAATTTAATTTTGCAAAAACTAAAAACTGGTGTTGTATCCATATGTATTGTATTTTATCTGAACCATCAGTATGCAAGGAAGCCAAGGTGGGCATGGCAGGGTTGGCCAAGTAAAAGGTGCCAGTTTTAGTCTACCTCTAATACTGATGAAATAATTTGTATGCAACGTTGTTAGTTAAAAGTGACTGCCGCAAAATGGGCAATGTCTCATTTAACAAGCAATTTTTTTTCTTTCAAATTGTAGGGGAAAAAAATCTTTGGAGTAATCTTTTCAGGCCTAGAACATATTTTTCAATATCCTTTGAGACATATGATCCATGAAGCTTCAACCATTTTTATACAATTACAGTTTTAGATGAATTATAAACTCTTAAATTAAAATTACAGGGTTCTTTCTAAAAGTCATAAAGGATTAGAGACAGTTGGAAGCAATTTCAAGAAGAGACAGCTCCACAATGAAAGGGTTGCCAAGGGTTTGAATGAAGGTGCAAATCAAAATGTAATACTTATAATGCTGTGTTTGCTACACAGCCTGCACCAAATTAATTGGTACTGAATGGAACAAGAGTACTTAAGCAATCTGCTTTTTGTGATCATTCTTCATAGAGATGACTGTGATACTTAGTGTTACAAAATCCAGATTTGCTGTGTTTTTGTTTTCAAGATTTGGCTTGATACGCTTTAACTCTCATATGTCTGTACAGCAATGATTTCTCTTTGTTTTAAAAAGTATTGAAATGAAGTTTTGTGCAGGCATCACACAAGCAGATACTGTGCAAGCTTCCACACATAACCTTGCCAGTGCAGCTCAATCCTGATCTGTAAAACTCCTCCTATTCCAGCCCTAAGCCTCTCAGGATTAGAAATTGACATTTGTACGAAATTGGTTGTCTCTCTTCACTCAAATGGTAGCAAAAGAAACAGATTTTGTAGAATCTCAGGGTTGGAAGGGACCTCAGGAGGTCATCTAGTCCAACCCCATGCTCAAAACAGGACCAATCCCCAATTATTGCCCCTGATCCCTAAATGGCCCCTTCAAGGATTGAACTCACAACCCTGGGTTTAGCAGGCCAATGCTCAAACCACTGAGCTATCCTTCTCCCCCAATTTATAGTATTGCTTTCTCTTTGTGGACCTGAATGGCCATGGTTTACAGTAGAAAGAGAGCTGTGAATTCCTAGGTGGCCACAGGTTTAATGTATAAGTGATTAATTATAATATGGTTCTGCAGTAGTCATAATGGATTATTTCTTAAATATATTTATTGGTGATACCTAGATGGTTTGGCATTATTCTGCAGTGGAGAAATGTTCAAATACTAGGAAGTGATGTCAGTTTTCCTAAACCTGATGGGGATATGTGAGCATTTTTCCTTCTAGTTTGTTCAATGCACTGGACGAATATCCCTCCTTGGGATCTGTTTTCATGTTTCATATAGCAACAGAAATGGTAAAGGATAAAACCATCCACCTGCATTTTTCTCCTAATATCTATAATGCTAGATGCTGCATTGTTTTTTATGAATTCTTATAGCTGCCTATAAAATCCATTGAAAGAAGAGAACTCATTCTTGCAAGTGGAATAAATCCAATAAATCTTATCCGAGTGAATTATTATTCATAGTGTGCATGCCAATTTGAGAATTTCAGACTTATTACAAAATATAGTAAAGATTTCAGATATATTTGTTTTCATTAATAGAGAGAATAGCATATTAAATTTCACACACAGTAAACTACATTAGGGTATTCAGTTTAACAAAGTGTGGTTATGTTCAAAAAAAGGAACTATGACTTAAATTTTTTTAAGTGACTTGGGATTTTGGGTTCCTCAGTTTTGTTCAGTATGCAAACTGTGACATCTTTAAAGGGCTTAAAAGGGAGGGTGTATGTGAGACTGAGCATTTCTGAAATCAGACCCCCTTACTGTGATCAAATTCAGTAGTCACTTGTAATAGCTGAAGTAAAAATGGCACCTTCTTACTCAGAGCACAGCATGTGGAGCCCTCCTGCCTCTCTGTCAGCATCTGGTAGGACTCTATCCCTAGTCCCACTTTTCTCCCTTACATTTTTTTGCTGGGTGACTTCCCCTCACAGTTTCATTACAATATCTATACTAATGACTCACAAATCTTTCTCTCCACACTGATCTGACTGGCAGTCTAGTTGTGACTGCATCGTCCTGGATGTCTTGCTGCCAGCTCAAGCCTAGTATGGCAAACTAGAACTTTTCATTTTTCTTCCTTACCTGCCTCTTCTGTATTCCTTCTCCATCACTGCTGAAAACAGTATCATCCCACCCCATTACCCAGGCTCATTACCTGAGGACAATTTATGACTCCTATCTCTCCTCCTCCCCATACATCCAGCCTTCCCTATAACATATCAAACATCTGTTCCTTCATCACTCTTCCTATGTCCATCCACAGATACCACGATTATCTCCTGCGTATTGTCTAATATTATTATTTCCATTATTAATATTATCTGCTGTATCCCGCGTATCCCTGACCTCCTTTAACACATTTCGCTCCCCTCCAGCAGCCACTCAGACCCTCTTCCAGTCCCTCTGCTGCCTTCCTCTTGCTAATCAAATTGAAAATTTTCTTTCTTACCTCCCAGGCTCTGTCTTTGACCTTTTTTCTCACTGGATCAATCTCGCTTGCCTCGCTCCATATATGATGCCAGATTCACCACTTTTCTTCTTCTCTTTCTTGCACTATCTTCCTTGTGCCTTCTCTCTTGCTTGAAATGAGTGCACCTCAGTGGATTAGGCATGCTCCATTTGTCCATTGTGGTTCCTACTGAAATTCCATTTTTGTAAGGCCCATAGACTCTAATTTCTGACACTTGAACATCAAAGCCAACTTGATTTAGAACATTTTTAAAAGAGTTCTAAATTATTGCTGCTTCTGAGTCCAATAGCAAAAATGTTATTATTAGGGCTCCTCAGAAATTTTCCAGCTGAATGTTTTTCTACTGGAAAATTCTGATTTGTGAAAATCGAAACATTCTGGGGATCATTCTGTGGGATCATGATGATTTCAATGGAATTCTGATTGAACTTTGCCTACCAGGGGATACCTGCCTGCTTGCCTACCAGCTCAGCCCACCAGGTGGGCTGTTTGGGAGCCTGGGCTTCCAGGTTTCCAACTTTCTGCCTCCTCACCAGCCTGGGCTTCTGGGATTCCCAGCTCCACAGCAGGATTCAAGGTGGACAGCCTTGAAGCTGGGGATTCCTGGGTTCCTGAGCTGCCTGCTTCCTACTTGTTGGATTGCTGGGGCTCCAGGCAGCTCAGAAAGCCTTGGATAAGCTTAGAAAAGATCAAAATGCAAATGTGTTTTGACCTTTTTTAAACAAAAGTTTTGAATTGCTGTTCCATGATCAATATTGAAGTTTCTTTTCTTTTTGGTTACATTTCTGAACAGGTTTTTTCAAAGCGGGGGAGGGGGAGAAATTTTGGAATTTCCCACAGAATGGGAATGGGAATCCAGACCACTCTAGTTATTACTGATGACAATGCATCATCCAGAAAGAACACAACTTGTTTATCAGTCCCTGGATTCATGTTACAGAACTGTCTTTTATGAGAGGAGGGAAGGAATTCTCCTTTTACTTGTAAACTGAGCAAATATGAGAGATAACTGAGACATTTTCAGGCACTGAGAGACTACAAATACAGAACCTCACACTGCCATTTTTACAGTGTAAACTTGCCAAAGTATAGTTACACTTCAAATTGTATTCCAAAATCTTGCTAAACTTCTTCATGATTATTGATGTAAGTAAACAAGAAGTCAGTGCATTAAGTGCAATGAAAATAAGGAAAAGGGAGCTGAGTTTAAAGAAAACACTTTAAAATAATTCAATTTTGTTTATTTATGTCAGTTCATTTGGGGAGAGAGTGTGGTCCAGTGGATAGGGCAGAATGCAGATTTTCACTTAATCTCTCTGCCTCTGTTTCTCCATTTGTTAAAAACAGGATAATGATATTTACCTTCTGCTAAGCACTTGAAAAACAAATGAAAAACTTTAACTTATAAAACTTTATGAAAAACTTTATAAGAGCTAAATGATATAAAAGAGGAAAGTCCTTGTATTGTGTTCAAAACACTTGCCTTATAGTGACTGTTGTTCATATTTGGTAGGAATAAATTTTGTATTTAGTATATTTTTCTCCATATACTAAAAGTGATTATAATCTGTCCTCAGATGATCTCAATATGACACATCAGCATTGTGTTCTGGCTGGTTTTGAGCCTCGTTTCAGCTCTACCCACAGAGTGGCAGAGGTGAGTAAGAAAGGGGATTTGTTTTTTGGTCATTCGCACTGTTAATAGTGGCTGACAAAATGAATTTAGGATCACGTGGTCTTGTTTTAAACTATGATTAGTGGTTTTACTGATGACTCCAACTTTTTGTGGGAGGTGTATGTTCTATGCTTTTCGCTTACTGATGGAAGAACTCCTATTGATTTTTATGGGAGAAGGGCAATTTCTTGGTCTATGAGCCACTTATGCCTAACCTCACATAGAGTTTCTGTATTACACTGCATTACCACAGCTTATTAAAGAAATGCAAAAACATGTAATTACATTTTTATAAAAAATGTTTTCATAGAGTTTTTTTGCCATACTCCACTATAAGAGGCATACTGTTGATGGGAAGGGATATGAGGTCTAAACATACTGCACACCAGAAATCCCAACAGCCCTAGGCTGCCACTACAAGTCAGGGCAATGTGGAACAGCCATGAGGCTGGATTCCCCGGCTTCCTCTAGAACTGCAGGTGGAAGCAGAAAAGTGCACAAAGCTCTTGCATCTCTCAGGTAGTCTGAGCATTGCTCTAAGGATTCAGCCCTGTGCTTCCAAGATGGCTGATGTGTGCTGTTTATTGGATTTGTTTCTTCTTTCAATACTCTTCACTACTGATCATAATTGCATGAACTATAAAGAAAATAAAATTTGTTGCTCATACTGTGATTATTTTTTTGCTTGTTTTCATAATTATTTTTCTCTATACAGCATCCAAAAGGAAAAAAGCAAATAATAGTTTTTTTAAAAAAATCATCCCAGATTACACTTTAAAATAATTCTTTCAAAAGTAACTAATCACATTTTACTATTGGTCTTATCAAGCCAAAATGCATTACTGTTGAAGTATCTGTGTGTGTGTGTGTGTGTGTGTGTGTGGTGTTTCAACGGTAATGCATTTAATTTTGTTTTCAAAATTATTATTATTTACTATTATTAGCTTTTATTTAAAATTATTATTCACTATTATTAGCTTTTCCCTTTGGCTGTTGTGTAGAGAAAACAATGAGGGCAACAAGAAAAAAAAATAAATAGATCAGAAAAGAAAGCATCGTAACGTTAAAATTATATCATAGTATTTTTCCAAATTAGATTAAGGATTGGTGGTTAAGGACACGTCTGTCTAACTTCTGTCATATAGGAACATATTTTTCAAAACAAACACAGATTCTGGTGACTACAGCTGAGCTTTGGAATAAGCCTAATATAATGTGCATTGTACTGTATGCATGAAGCATATGGTTCTTTATTTTTCTTCAGCAGAAAAGATGAACTTTCTAACCTTGTGCTCCCAACACTCTGTTATTCTGATATTAAAATACACACTTGTGTCCACAGTTTGAAAAGCTTCCACTTTAAAAGCTTATGTTTTGTTTTTATAAACCTTTGTGACCTCACATTGTATAGTATGGAAATTCTAATACAAAGAATTATGATACTGGGAGTCCTTACTCAAGGTTTTTCCTGGGAAGTTAGCTAATGTTATAAATATTTAACTGAAAATAATTATATGGTAGACCTATATTTTTATTTTGTGTCAGAAAGATATTTATGTTTCTTTCAGCACTGAAGGAAGTTATATTCCCAAAAACAAAGTAAAGGTAGAACAATCAATCTTTGCAACTGTATTATATGCTTTACACTTAGGAGTATATTCTACTTTTATGCTGCATGAGAAACTCCCCTTCCATGTCATTGTGAGTCCGATGCAGGGCAAAATATGACCAACTGTTAAATGCTCTAGAATACTAACTGCAGGGAGGAAAAAAGAAAGAAAATAGAATTTTCAGCCATGCTTTTGAAACTCTAAGATTTCAAATGTGTTTCACAGTGTTTCCGGGTTTCCCCCCTCAAATCTGTAGGGTAATTTTTAATAGTCTATTATATCTTTAATGAGTTAGTTTTTTAAATGTAAACTTTTTTGTATCAATGCAAATAATTTTAAATAGCAATACAAACAATCTGGCATGTATTAAATGTTATAAGCTTTCTTATTTTGCTTTAAAACATAATAAAATTAAAACACAGAAATGCAGCTCCTTTTTCTCTCATTTTACAACATTTTGATTATTTCAGTGGCTGGCACTGAATCTTATTTTCTATTTGCCTTAAACAGTATTACTTCCAAAGGATCTGTAAACTGATTAATTTTTTTATTGTGCTCTTACAGTGCTCAACAGGAACACTGGAATATATTTTTGGACAGTGTGAGGTTGCACTTCAGAATTTACAGGTTGATTCTGATTCAGCGGCTTTGTCTTTGAAATCACTGGAAGTCCAAGTTGTAAAGGAAGTGGAAGGAATCCATAACGAGGTGAGGGGAAGGGAAACTGGTAACTTTATCTGAGATATAAAATTACGTGGTATACTGGATAATGCTGCTTTGCTAATTCTCAGTGTCAGAGGAAAGAGTTGCAGCGTGACATAATCATTAAGATCTTGCAGAGGGTTTGGTAAATTTGCTTACATTCTTTTTATGGTTTCAGAGTAACAGCCGTGTTAGTCTGTATTCGCAAAAAGAAAAGGAGTACTTGTGGCACCTTAGAGACTAACCAATTTATTTGAGCATGAGCTTTCTTGAGCTACAGCTCACTTCATCGGATGCATTTTATGATGGTGGAAGTGGTGTTTCCAGAGAGGCTTAATTGAATTTTCTTTAAATTTTAACTTATGTTTTAAAAAAAAGAGAGGGCCACAGAAAAAGTAGAGTCAACAACACTTTCTAGGGTATTTAAAAACAACAGATTTGACTTGTTTTTTGTTATCCTGATAGCTATATCTCTAGATACAACTTGGGTTGACCTTTATTGGTTAACAAAGCATAAATGGTGAGCACTACATGGAAAATGAGTAACACTGACTAATTAGTATACTATAGTACTAATTTTTTTTGACCAATTTGTTCTCTGATTTCAGTGGTGCTTTCCTCAGCACAGTTATATTCATAAATTCCAAAGAGTTATTTTGGATTCCCGCTATTATAAGTTTGAGCAGTATTTGACCTACTGGGACATGTATAGAGTATAATTTTCACATAGAGTATAGGGATGCATTTATAGCTCTAAATATTTTTTAAATTCATTTGGTACAATATATTTATTCAGGAACAAGGCAAACTTTTACAACTTTCATAAAACTTTGAGGGTCAGTGTTTTGGCTGTACTGTGTTTACCCTTGATGCAGCTGAGGAGAGTAGGGTGGGGAAAGATCTGCTCCCCTGATTTTGGTTGAAATGGCTGCCGGTATAAATTAAACCAGCCTAGTATTTGCAATACTTTACGAAATATTAATCAGGCTTAGTTCATAAGACTGTAGGCATATATCAGTTTGTACAACAAGGGCCACATTCACAGCTGGTGTAAATCAGCATAGCCCCATTGACTTCAAAAGAGCTATGTGATTTACACCATAGGAGGAGTAGACCCCAAGTGTTTGCAGTGACCTGAATAATTTTGCCATGTGACATACATTGGTGTTTCCTGTTATACATATGGGATATACTATCCCAGAAATCACTGGTCAGGCTATATATATTGTACACTCTGACTGAATAGAGACATTGGATCTATATTCCATATGAAAAGAGAATCACTCATCCACTCTCTTTTGATTTTTCAAGGTCATCTCTTCGTTTGAGGGATTAATTCCATATGTCAAAGTGCTATGTCAGATATTGTTCTTTTTTTACCACACAAGTAGGCAAGTTTTCTGTGGTTTACATTGTGGTAGATATATGTTCCTTTGCTGTGTATCACTATTAACTGGAACCATAAATGTCTGTGAGGCTAATACAGGTCTTTCATTCTTTTCTTTTGGGGGGCGGGGAAGCCACATGCCTTTTTAATACAAGTTATATGATAAAGTTCTGTGTAGTTTCATGGTCTAATACAACTAGTAAGTTCAAACTCTGTAAATTATTTATAGAAAAAGTGCCCAATAATTTCCACACAAAGAGCCAAATCCTGGGTCTAGTGAAGAATATGCTAGATCTGCCGTTGACTTCGGTGGGATCAGGATTTGGCTACAACTCTTAACACCCTCTCCCCTGCAATTTTCCTCTCCTCAGTGTAAAAAAAAAATGTTGAGAAACTTATAGTGCTGGCTAAAGCAAAACACCGTCTCTGTTCTGATGTGCAACTTCCTTCCTCTTTTAAATCTACGCCTCGGCAGAAAAGTTGTAACTTTTGTATACACTGCAGAGATGGCCTTGAAAACGAGGTACCTGAACTTCTTCCAACTCACAAATAGCTGGCTGCCATGTTTTACTTTTAAGTATTGCCACAAATGCAGTTCTTCAGAAACGTTATCCCAGATAGTGATTGCTAGATGCTGTGACTTTTTCCGAAACTGTTGCTTTGCCTTGATGGCATCTCCAAAATAGGCATCGGAGGCATCATGAATGGTTTGCTGAAAGGCTAGAAGTGACTTGAAGGTTTGAACGTATGGTCTGCTGTACCTCTAGTCTGGCAACAGTCACTTTCTTACGTACATCAAATCCTTCCTTATGGCAAAAGTAGATTGAGTTTACTCTGAAGATAGTGTGATGTAGAAAAACCTAGTCTAGCTAAATTGTGTTGTTAAACTGAAGTGAGCTGTAGCTCACGAAAGCTCATGCTCAAATAAATTGGTTAGTCTCTAAGGTGCTACAAGTACTCCTTTTCTTTTTGCTTAGAAGAGTGGTGATGTACACAACAAACAGTAAGGTTAATGTGTGTTTTACCACATCAGCGTGAAATGACAGCACAGTTGGTGGCTGGCTGGTACAAAAGAGAGGAAATATAGATCACCTACATAGGTGGCATTAATAACCAATACCTTTAAATAATTGACTGAGGAGCATAAGCTTTCAAAATGTCAAATGGTGCTGTTGGCCTTTTACTGCCCAGTATTGACTATAAATCTAAAAATCACCCTTTAATCATTGTTTAAAGGACAAACTGAGGATGAGTTGATATTAGACCTAACAAGCCTGATTCCAGTCTTACTTACACTGGTGTAAATCAGCAGTGAAAACCGAGTGAGATCAAAGTCAGGCCAACAGTTTGTTTTAAGTGTTCATATGTTCAGGGTTCTTGCCATTCAGTTTAGTTCTGGTATAAGGAAGTCTCCAGTATAAAATTGCATCAGAGAAACTGTAGCTAAAGATGAGCCACAGCTGTTAACCTGATATTCAAACCTGGTATGTGAATATTCACTGACCTCAGCTACTTTGTGTGTCTAGCTGTTTTGGTGGTTGTACTATGATTTCCATCTGTTGGAATTGCTGCATTTATCTCTCAAAAAGAAAAGGATTACTTGTGGCACCTTAGAGACTAACCAATTTATTTGAGCATAAGCTTTCGTTATTTCATTTTATTCTAGGGCCTTAAATATTGAATCTAATGATTTATATTACAGACCTTTTGTTTTTATACGGAGTTTGTCCCCCTTACCTTTTTTAAAACCTTCCAATGTTTGATTTTTTTTTTTCTTCCTCGCATCCTGCTATTCATAGAAATTGTGGGAAGTAGGTGTGAATGCCTCATTAACCACAACTGATCTAAGAAAAGGTGTGGTTAAAGAGTTGCTTTGTTTTAATGAAGGAAAGAAGGGGAGAGTATAACTCTGAATATAACTTCTAAGAACTTTGGGGAAAGTATTTAACACATGCTCATCTCAGGGTATGTCTAAACTGATATGAAGATAGCTACCATGCATTAATTTAAAAAAAAAAAAGTGTACTTACCTTTCAGAGGATCCCAAAAAGCTTGTTACAAAAATAAGTAGCAGTATCCCTCTTTTACAGATGAGTAAACAGATGGTGACATCATGGCCACAGAGAGGTTCCTTTGCAGAGTCAGGAGTCACTTGACTTTCAGTTCTTGTTCTAGACACCAAATAACTGCCTGCCTGCACTAGTTCAGGAAGATCAGCTTGAAGACTAACCTAGTGGATAAAACATTAATTGACCTTTCATCTTTATTTAACTCAGTGTTGAAGCTAAGTTGAGACATGAGGTAAAATGAATTTGGACCTCAGTTTGAAATCTTTGGTGAACAGTAGTCCATATCATTAAACAAGCACATATGTCATAATTTGGCATGGTTGGCATGCTCCCCTCTAGAGGGACCAACTAATCCTGCACAAAATTAACTAGCTTACCACTAAACTTTACCTCTAAAACCTAGAGAATAATACAGCTCTTCTAGGTCACAAGTCACTAAGCAGTGTGGCTGTGGTTGCAGCACCCATGCTGTGCTAGTAAATGGTGCTGCCACAGTTTCCATTACTGTCTGTCAGTTAAGCCCAGGATGTATTTAAAATGTGACCACGGTGCCAAAGATTTAAATTAGATTTAATTTACATAGATCAAGGGGACAAATCGATGTAATTAGTCAAAAATCAGATTGACTGCATTCACATTCCTGTCACAATGGGTCATGTTGTCACATTGATTTTTTTTTTTTTTTTTTTTAAAGCAGAGTTCTTTATTGATTAATGACCTAGTATGGTTTATTTCCTGAAACATTAAAGTCTGGCAACCACATAGGGTATTACCTTTTTAGTGGAGAAGGTCAGCAAAAAAATTACCATTGGGCCTTATTTTCAGCAGTGCTGAGCACCCAGAACTCCAGCTAAAGTCAGTGGAAGATGCTAGTGCTCAACACACCTGAAAATCAGTCCCGGAGAAGCCTGGCAAGATGTATCTTGACACTTCAGACCTGGATAATGCTTTAAAAGCAATAAACTTTACTTGAACTTTATTAGGAAGGACGTACGTTCTTAAACCTGAATACTAAGAAAAGCTGAAGACAGTCGTAGCTTCCTTTCAAAACATTTAAGATTTACCTCAACTAATGTCTTCTAATCCTTTTGATATGTTTTACCAATGGGGTTGTTTTAATATTGTATGTGCAGCTTTTTTGTTTAAACTGCTTTTATTGAAATCAGTTACACTTATCAAACAAACGTTTAGTTAGTGTTGACTAAAACAACTTTCAGTCTTTTAGAGTAACAGCCGTGTTAGTCTGTATTCGCAAAAAGAAAAGGAGTACTTGTGGCACCTTAGAGACTAACCAATTTATTTGAGCATAAGCTTTCGTGAGCTACAGCTCACTTCATCGGATGCATACTGTGGAAACTGCCTCTGTTTGCATTTGGAAAGGAAAATGATGTCTGTCTGTATCTGTACAAGTTTTTTCATGCAGTTGATAGATTTCCACTCCATACGGCTAAATGCAGTGCCTTGCATAATGACAGGTTTCAGAGTAACAGCCGTGTTAGTCTGTATTCGCAAAAAGAAAAGGAGTACTTGTGGCACCTTAGAGACTAACCAATTTATTTGAGCATAAGCTTTCGTGAGCTATAGCTCACTTCATCGGATGCATACTGTTATGCATCCGATGAAGTGACCTGTAGCTCACTAAAGCTTATGCTCAGATAAATTGGTTAGTCTCTAAGGTGCCACAAGTACTCCTTTTCTTTTTTCAGTCTTTTGTAGCTGTTCTGTTGGTTAAAAGGTGTTCTCAGGTGAGGGCTTTAAGCCATTTTCATTATTGTTTCACCTTCACAGGTTGTCTTTGTTTGCCTCATCAGAGTTCAGAAGGGGTAAACAAAAGAATTCTTTGTGGTAAAGGTGAAGATTAAAGCAGCTTTGAGCCTCTGTGTGAAACATACCTACGATAACAAAGATAAATACAAAAATCTAAAAGACCAGAACTGTAAATAACTAATAAAAAAAATCAACAAAAAGAACAACAGAGACTGGGGGGTGGGTATTAAGATGAATGGAATGACTATGCTTGAACAATAATCAGTGTGTTATACAGTCTTAATGATGTTTTATAACTACAGTACTGGATGATGTGCAAGTATGGTATTAAAAACAACCCACACAGGTTATCTATTGTGTGTTACCTGCCTAGTGCTCCTGGGCTTAAAAGGGTGTGCAGCACATAATAACTATTTTTTAAACATAGCTTTCTTATCATTTTAGCTTCTTGATGTGTGTCAGATCATTGGCTCCATGAGGTGCCTCAGCGTAAACTCTGTGGGTGACATCCCATCTCCCACAGTACTCTACAAGGCTAGTTCTATGCTGCAGCAAAGGAGTCATGAAAATATCTTCTATTATTGTAAATGGAGGTGTGCTGTATGACTTCAAAAGTAGTTTATATGCTGAAGAATATAAAATAATCCTAAAAAATGAAAAGATTGTTGCCAAGCATACCTTGTAATCTAGGAAAATATTCTCTTATATGAGCCTGGGAAGGCTGTCTGCACACTTAAGCGCAGTGCTGTGGTAGTTGGAGTCACTAGCATAATGTCTGCTGCTGCATCACTCTCAAAAACTCCCAGAATCTGTGACTTCAGGTGGCCTGGAATTAAGCAGAGAGCACCCTTTTTTGCTTTTGCAGTGTGCATCACTCTGCATAGCTAGAGTAAGAAATGTTTGTTTTATGTGAATGAAGAATTGACAGAGGGAGCATAAAGAATTGTTTTGGAGCCCCCAAGCAGTGAATGGTAGATCTGATGGGTCAGAGGAATTGGTATTGGGAAATAGATCATTTCATCTCTAGGTCTCCCATTCAGATCTTCTTTGGCCAAAATTTATCATCTGGTAGTAGTTTGGTGACCTATTTGAAATTATCTTGCAGTATCAGTACTGGTGTCTCCATCATAAAAACCACCTCCACAACTGACACTAATTCATGCACTTCTTGAAAACTTTATCAGATTGGCCAATATTTATGGGGACTGAACTATTTTCTCTCCCACAGTGGTAGTCTAGTGAGCCCAGGGATTGAGGCATGTGTGTGTGTGTAGTGTGAGGAAACTTGCACTATTATCATCTTTACAGTACTGTTCTATAGGTGGAGAGAGGATTTGGGATTCCAGAGCTGTCAATCAGGCACCTTTTATAAGCACCGTGGGGCTAATCTAAAGGCAGTTGAAATCAGTGGGAGGTTTTGCATTGACTATGGTGGGCTTTGGCACAGACCATAAAATGACATGAAAAAGAAATTTTAAAATAGCTTAAATTTCTGTGTGTAAAGTTGCCTTTGGAAACTACTTGTTGTTGGAGAAACTGTCAATGACCCCATCTTATAAGCATCAGCACAGATGTGAATAGATTCATATGTTTTTCCAAGTAATGAGCACAGACTATTTATGCCTCCTTTACATGTCATTCATCTCTTTGCAGGTCGAATTTGAGTGGCTTAGGCAGTTTTGGTTTCAGGGCAAACGCTATAGGAAGTGCACTGATTGGTGGTTTGAACCAATGGCTAAATTGGAAGAATTTTGGAAAAAGATGGAGTTTATGGTAAGTACTAGCAAATAGCCTAAAGCTCTTAAGAACCTAATTCTGCAGATACATTGCATGCAGAACCCATTGTAACTGTGTTGTAGAATCAGGCTTTAAATGTTCAGTATTTGTATGCTCTCTGTAATGCCAGTGCTGCCTTCCAATCCCACAGCAAAGCAGGAGAAGAAATAAAATAGCAAAACAAAATGAACAAAACCAAAAAAACAGGAGATGTTGCTTAGTGTCCATTTTGACTACTGTACGGTAAGATGTCAAAGTATTGGGTTATTACTTAATAATGATTTGTCTTCAATGGAAATTTTCAGCTCTATCCCCACCTTTCATATAGCACCAAGGTAGCTAGCTCTACTGATCTGCGGATGAAAACATCTCTGTGCAGTTTCACCAGTGCTTGTGCTAGACCAAGAATAGAGAAGAATGCTAGTGAACGCAAGGCTAAATAGTATCTTGAGCAACGCTAGTGAATGGCTAAGATCACTATGTCCTTTGAAATTATATCCCTGTCCTTGTCTACACTGGGGATTTGCCCCAGTTGCAGCACTGATGGCCAGCCATTGATCTAGCTACACCTGTGCAATCCATGATGTCTTACTGCAAAACTGGTAGAAGACTCTGTTTGTACCGGCAGAGCTTACTGTAGTTTCAAGTATTGCCTGTCTACAAGAAGTTTTTGCACTGGTGACTGGCTGTAGATGGCTGTAACTAGGGCCAGGTCTACGCATGGAACGATTTGCCAGTAAGATATATTATAATGGTAGAGAGCACCAAGTGTGGACACAGCTTATACCAGCAAAAGTGTCCTTTTGCTGGTATAGTTCTTCCAGTGCCTTGAGTGAAATAAGCTACACCAGCAAAAATACAGTTTTACTGGTATAACTGTGTTTACACTAGAGACTTTTGCCTGCACAGCTATGTCGATCAGGTATCACACAGTTGACTGACATACCTATGTTGGCAAAACTTTGTAGTGTAGACCTGACCTCGGACAAATCCCCACTGTAGACAAGGAGCCTGAATATCTGCTTTGAATAGTTGTAAGGTTTCTGTGGCATTGAATTTGGACCTGATCCTGAGAGTTTGAGTACTGACAACTCATCAATGGTAAAAGAACAGGAGTACTTGTGGCACCTTAGAGACTAACAAATTTATTAGAGCATAAGCTTTCGTGGGCTACAGCCCACTTCATTGGATGCATAGAATGGAACATATAGTAATATACACATACAGATAAGTTGGAAGTTACCATACAAACTGTGAGAGGCTAATTAGTTAAGATGAGCTGTTATCAGCAAGACAAAAAAACTTTTGCAGTGATAATCAAGATGGCCCATTTAGACAGTTGACAAGAAGGTGTGAGGATACTTAACTTAGGGAAATAGATTGAATATGTGTAATGACCCAGCCACTTCTAGTCTCTATTCAAACCCAAGTTAATGGTATCTAGTTTGCATATTAATTCAAGCTCAGCAGTTTCTTCTTGGAGTCTGTTTTTGAAGCTTTTCTGTTGCAAAATTGCCACCCTTAAATCTTTTACTGAGTGCCCAGAGAGGTTGAAGTGTTCTCTTACCCGTTTTTGAATGTTATGTTTCCTGATGTCAGATTTGTGTCCATTTATTCTTTTGCTTAGAGTCTGTCCGGTTTGGCCAATGTACATGGCAGAGGGGCATTGCTGGCACATGATGGCATATATCACATTGGTAGATGTGCAGGTGAACGAGCCCCTGATGGCGTGACTAATGTGGTTAGGTCCTATGATGGTGTCACTTGAATAAATATGTGGACAGAGTTGGCATCGGGCTTTGTTGTAAGGATAGGTTCCAGGGTATTGTAGTTGTAAGAATGCTTGATAGAGATCTTGTAGGTGTTTGTCTCTGTCTGAGGGATTGGAGCAAATGCGGTTGTATCTTAGAGCTTGGCTGTAGACAATGGATCGTGTGGTGTGTCCTGGATGGAAGCTGGAGGCATGTAGGTAAGTATAGAAATCAGTAGGTTTCCAGTATAGGGTGGTGTTTATGTGACCATCGCTTATTAGCACAGTAGTGTGCAGGAAATGGACCACTTGTGTGGATTGGTCTAGGCTGAGGTTGGTGGTGGGATGGAAATTGTTGAAATCACGGTGGAATTCCTCAAAGGCTTCTTTTCCATGGGTCCACTGGAGGAAATAGATTCAATATGTATAATGACCCAGCCACTCCCAGTCTCTATTCAAACCCAAATGGGCCATCTTGATTATCACTACAAAAGTTTTTTTCTCCTGCTGATAATAGCTCATCTTAACTAATTAGCCTCTCACAGTTTGTATGGTAACTTCCAACTTATCTGTATGTGTATATTACTATATGTTCCATTCTATGCATCCGATGAACTGGGCTGTAGCCCACGAAAGCTTATGCTCTAATAAATTTGTTAGTCCCTATGGTGCCACAAGTACTCTTTTTCTTTTTATGGATACAGACTAACATAGCTGCTACTCTGAAACCTGTCATCAGTGGTAGTTACAGGTACACAGATCAGGCCCCATGTGTAACTTTCAATTTAAGAAAAGGAGTACTAGTGGCACCTTAGAGACTAACCAATTTATTTGAGCATAATAAATTGGTTAGTCTCTAAGGTGCCACTAGTACTCCTTTTCTTTTTGCGAATACAGACTAACATGGCTGCTACTCTGAAACCTTTCAATTTAAGGAAAGTTTCTTCCTTCACCAACAATAGCAGATAACAGTTCACACTATACCATGAACAGAAAAATGTTTTGGGGGAGGGATAGCTCAGTGGTTTGAGCATTGGCCTGCTAAACCGAGGGTTGTGAGTTCAATCCTTGAGGGGGCCATTTAGGGATCTGGGCCAAAAATTGGGGATTGGTCCTGCTTTGAGCAGGTGGTTGGACTAGATGACTTCCTGAGGTCCCTTCCAACCCTGATATTCTATGATTCTATGATACTGGAGCTCAAATTCTACATGGTGAGCTTTTTCTGTAGCAACTGGTGTCACAAACACTCAAAACATTACAGAAAACTAGAATGTAGATGTTTGTGCTCCTACCAGCTGCAAAAAGAAATCAGAGAGCCCTGAATTTTACCAGTGAAGAAAGAAGTGATTTGTAACTTTTATCTTTTTTTAATGAATTTGTGTCTCTTCTTTTAAATCCACATGCACTCCCATTCTGCTGGTGTTTTTGGATCTCAGATGACTTATCATTTGTAAAAAAGCTTTTCAGTTTATTTTTCCTTGAAATAACAATCTATTTTCTTGTAACACAAAGACTTAGTGAGGCAGACACAAGATTGTTTGATTGTTATTTTACAACCATTGTGTGTTGGGAACATGGAAAAACAGCACACACAGAAATTCTCAAGGGCTAAGTTTTCTGCAATTGGTGTGACATTACCATGTGTCTCTAATTAGAAACATGGTGGCGTCAGTGTATCTCCTTTCAACAGGCCTCAGGATGATATTTATCAGCAAACTGAAGGCTTAGGCCAAGACAGAAGCTGCTTCTAATTTAAATTTTAAAAATTGCTTTAATGTTTTATGATTTCTAACACATTAATCACAATTAATTTCAGCTATTGAGGGAGACAGTAGAGAATTTTAATTGAGAATGTCTGTTGTTTTGATGAGCCTTTAAGCAAATTTGGTGCTTACTGTGTTTGGGACCCAGAAGCAGCCTTTTTCAGTTCTGTTCTTTCTCCTTATACCTGCAGCATGTACCACATTCTTTTAAAAACTGACAGTAGGGGGCATTGTTGAGCTGCAGTTTTAATGTAACAACAATACTGGGTTTGAGAAAATATATAGAAATGTAGCATTAACTGTCAAGAATTATCCCTGTTGCTTCAAGTTAGCTGTAATCTCTAAGATTCCATAACACAGGAAATCAATTGTGGGTTAACAAATTCAACAGCAATTTAACATAAAAAGTGTAGTGTTTTCATGCACATTTGGATTCTATCGAAATAAGTTAAATCAAAACAACATTTCTAAAGGTACCTGCCAGTCTACAGTGAATATATTTCTGTAAATTATAATAATTTTAGCTGAATGATTATAAAAAATCATTTTAGTATATAATTTAGAAAAAAATCTAAATTCTGAATGTCTTGCTATTGTTAATTTTGTCTGTACAGAAGCACTATTGAGGTTTCCTTCTAAAAGGAAATACTTTAATAAGCAGTGCATTTTTCTTTACCTCTGTATGAGCTGTACAGCTCTTATCATACATTTTTACATGTATGTATCTAAAATTTTACAGAAGTAGGTCTTGGTCTCTTTGTGTTTTTTTTATGTTTCCCTGTTTAAAGATGAAGTTTTTTAAAAAAATATTTTTTTCAAAACTGCTTCTAATTCTGCCAACTGTAACTGCTCCACTGTCACAACAAAATAATAATTCAAAAAGTTTAACCCAATGTCTTCAAACCTCAAGGCTCTATTTAATATTTTTATACATTATAGTAAGCACACATTTTTTTCATAATGTTTATTCCTGGCATTTCTTTCCCTGAGGATAGTTTTACTCAGGTCTCACTCTTGTGATGTAAATGTTAAACCTTTCATTTGAATGACATTCTGATAAAACATCACTTTTCCCCATAATATTACCTCATGAATTTATGAGCCCTTAAATCCAAAGCAAAGGTTGACCAGTCTTTACCGCCCTTACTCCCCCCCTTAAAAATATGAAGGCTATTCAAATGTTTGTATTTAAAAAAAAAAAGTCATCCAAGATTACCACATTATCATGTGCAACATCAGGATAAGTGCTCACTGAATTCAAAGAGAGAGTTACCATTTGAAAGGGACTGTACAAGCTTTGCTTTCTGGGTAAAGAGAAGTCTGAAAAGCTGAAATCTCATGTGATGTGAAGAAGTCTTGCTGTAGCTGTTCTGAGATTCAGGGGAGAGACAATTTGTCTCTCAGGGTCTGATAACATGCAGACCTCACAAACTGACATTTATTTTACCTATAAAAATGTTTAATACTGCACCAAAGCTGTGGGA